GAAGTTTCAACCCAACCCAACCCAACCCAACCCAAACCCAACCCAACCCAAACCAAACCCAACCCCAACCCAACCCTAACCTAACCCAAACCCAACCCAACCCAACCCAACCCAACCCAACCCAACCCAACCCAAACCCAACCCAACCCAACCCAACTCAACCCAACCCAACCAAACCCAACCCAACCTTAAACCCAAACCAACCTAACCCAACCCAACCCAACCCAACCCAACCCAACCCAAATCCAACCCAACCCAACCCAACCCAACCTAACCCAACCCAACCCAACTCCAATCCCAACCCAACCCAACCTCCAAACTCCAACCCAAATCCCAACCCAAATCCCAACCTAACCCAACCCAACCCAACCCTAACCTAACCGAACTCCAACCCAACCCAACCTAACCCAACCCCAAACCCAACCCAACCCAAACTCCCAACCCAACCCAACCCAAATCCAACCTGAACCTCAACCCAACCCAACCAACCCAACCCAACCCAAACCCCAACCCAACCCCCAATCCCAACCTAACCCAACCCAACCCAACCCAACCCAACCCAAACCTGAACGAACCTAACCTCAACCTCCAACCAAACCCAATCCCAACCCAACCCAACCCAACCCAACCCCAACCCAACCCAACCCAACCCAACCCAACCCCAACCTCCCAACCAACCCAACCCAACTCAACCCAACCCAAACCAACCCAACCCAACCCCAACCCAACCAACCTAACCCAACTTCCAACCCAAACCCAACCCAACCCCAACCTAACCCAACCCAACCCAACCTAACCCAACCTAACCCAAACCTAAACCCCAACCCAACACCTAACCTCAAACCCAACCCAACTCCAAACCCAAACCCAACCCAACCCCAACCCAACCCAACCCAACCCAAACCCAACCCCAACCCAACCCAAATCCCAACCCAAACCCAACCCCAATCCCAACCCAACCCAACCCAACCCAACCCAACCCAACCCAAACCCAACCCAACCCCAACCCAACCCAAACCAAACCTAAACCAAACCCAACCCAACCCAACCCCAACCCAACCCAACCCAACCCAACCCCAACCCAACCAACCCAACCCAACCCAACCCAACCCAACCCAACCCCAACCCAACCCAACCTAACCCAACTAACCCAACCTAACCTAACCCAACCAAACCCAACCCAACCTAACCCAACCCAACCCAACCCAAACCAACCCAACCCAACCCAACCCAACCCAACCCAACCCAACCCAACCTAAACCTAATCCCAAAACCCAACCCAACCCAACCCAACCCAACCCCAACCCAACCCAATCCCCAACCCAACCCGAACCCCAACCCAACCCAACCCAACCCAAACCCAACCCAACCCAACCCAACCCAACCCAAACCAACCCAACCCAACCCAAATCCAACCCAACCTGAACCACAACCCAACCAATCCCAACCCAAACCCAATCCCAACCCAACCAACCAACCCAACCCAATCCCCAACCCAACCCAACCTAATCCCAATCCTAACCCAACTCCAACCTGAACCCAACCCAACCCCAACTCAACCCAACCCAACTCAACCTAACCCAACCCAACCCAATCCTAATCCTGAATCCCCAACTCTGAACTCGAACCCAACTTGAACCTCCAACCCAACTCAACTTCCAACCGAACCCAACCCAACCGCAACCTCAACCTCCAACCCAACCCAACCTTAACCCAGACTTAACCTCCAACCTATTCCAATCCCAACCCAATCTCAACTTGAACCCCAACTTGAACCTTAACCCAACTTCAATCTCTAACCCTAACCTAACCCCAACTCAACCCAAATCTAACCCAACCTAAACCCAATCTCAACCCAACTCAACTTAACCCAAATTTGAATCCCAACTCAATCTAACCTAAATCTCAACCTGAATCCCAAACCCAACTTTAACTCCAACCCAACCCAACTCAATCTTCCAACCTCAACTCCAACTCAATCCTTAACATTCAACTAACTACCAGAACACAACCCCAATTCCAACAACCCAACCCAACTCAATCCAACCAGAATTCCAATTTAATCTAACCCAACACCAACTTAACTCTTAACTCGAACCAAACCCAACTTAAATTCAACCAACTCAACCCCAACTCAAATCTGTAATCCCCATCCCCAACCCAAATCTCAACCTCAAATCTCAAATCAACTTAAACTCTCAACCAAAATTGCACCAACCCAACCCAACCCAACCCCAACCCATCAATCCCAACCTCAAACCCAACCTAACCCAACCTAACCTAACCCAACCAAACCCAACACAACCCCAACCTAACCCAACCAACCCAACCCAACCCAACCCAAACTTTAACCCAACCCAACCAAACAAAACCCAACCCAACCCAACCCAATCCCAACCCAACCTCAATCCCAACCCAACCCAACCCAACCCAACCCAACCCCAACCTAAATCAAAACCCAACCCAACCCAACTCCCAACCAAAACCCAACCCAACCAAACCCAACCCCAACTCAACCTAACTCAACCCAACCCAACCCAACCCAACCCAACCCAACCAACCCAACCCAACCCAACCATCCAACCCAACTCAACTCCAACCAGAACCCAACCAAACCCAACCGAATCCCAAACCAACTTAACCCAACCCAACATAACCCAAACCCAAACCAAACCTAACCCAACCCAAACCAACTCCAACCCACAACCCAACCCAACCCCAATCATCCAACCCAACCCAACCCAACCTAAATCATCCCAACCCAACCCTAAACCCAACCAAACCAACCCCAACCTCCAATCCCAATCCAACCCAACCCAACCCATCCTAACCCAACCCAACCCAACCCCAACCCAACCCAACTCAACCCAACCCAACCCCACAACTCAACCAACCAACTCAATCCCCAACCCAACCAACCCCAACCCAACCAAATCCCAACCCAACCCAACCCAACTCCAACCCAACCCTGCACAATCCCCAACCCAATCCCAGCAATCCTGGGAACCAACCCCAACTCAACCCAACCTTCAGCCCAACCTAAATCTGAACCCTGAACTAACTTCAACCCAACCTAACCCAACCCAACCCAACCTTAACCCCAACCCAACCTCAACCTGAATCCCAACCCAACTCCGAATCCCAACCCAACTCCAACCCAACCTAACCTAACCCAAACCTGAACTTCCAATCCCAACCCCAACCCAACCCCAACCCAACCTGAACTCCAACTCCAACCCAACTCATCCCAACTCAACCTTCAACCTGAATTCCAACCCAATCCTTAACCCAACCCAAATTTGAATCCCAACTCATCCCAAATCCCAATCCCAACTCTAACCCCAAATCCCAACCTCGTAAC